ACAGTTGTAGTAAATGGGACGCGTCGAATTCCGAATGGAAATTTCCTCGGGGATGCGCTCGTTCCATTTCCACGACTTTTTCCCGGAAGATAAGCTCAAAGACGATCCAAACCAAAAGGCCCGAAACTAGTAAAAACTAGCAAATGGAACGCACATTTTCGATTCGGAAATTTCGTTTGGAAATTTTGGTCTACCTTTGAAGAAATCCCGTTTTTCCGAGAGAAAATTTCCGTTCGGGGAAACAAAACTAATTTTTCCATTTACATTCCATCCGAAATTTCCGGATTTTTTGGGTAAATGGTAAACAACCTAGATAGCTCAAAAAGTGCCATCACTTCGAGGTGAACAAAAGAAAACTCCTACTAGTAAATAATCTTTTTTTTTTTTCAAGTGCTATGTCGTAATTAAGGTTCCCTTATGGTCTAAAACCCATGCAATTACCAACCTTGCCTGCCTGCAATATTAAAATTTCACAAGCTATATTTTTCTCCCTCCTCTTAAAATCGAACGCGTGAAATTGCTCGCCTTAGTTGCATACATAACCATCACTCCCTTTGGCAACTCTAGAGTTAGATGGCGGCTTGACTGCGCATGCGCACGTGGGCTCGTTGAGCCATTGTGGCAACAGTCCGAGTGCTCGTGTATAATTTGTAATTGGGCAATAGCAGTCGGAACTCTTCGGGAACTACGAGGATAGGACCGATGCATTTTTGTCACAATGTTTTTCAAATGTTGTCTTAGTTCCAGTGACGTTCGCTTTGCACATTTTTCCGGCTTCCTCTTCGCTCAATAAAAATGGTCGTTCAGTCGGCGAAGATCAAAGTAACCGAAAGCAGAACGCAATATGTGTTCTCCCTTTTCGACCGCTTTCTGGCGAAATTCCCTAAACAGTTATCAAAATATAGATCGAGCACAAAGAGAATCGCGACTTGGCAGCATCCACGAAGAAACAGATGACCGCGTTTTGTTCGATAAAGACAGCGAAAGCTTTCGCAACTTCACATCCCCGAAGCAAATCCTCAGCCATACCTGGAGGGAGCGCATTGCGGAGAAACTACCACTTTGGCAAACACGCCAGTCGCCCGTTTCAAAGTCGCCGGTCTGTTGTCGTCCTTGCAGTTGCTTTAAATCTGGCCTCGGTCTCATCCTCACCACGGCGTCCGGTATTCTGTTCGCGATCGCCTCGTTATTTGTCAAGCTCTCAAACACGACAATTCCGGCGTTTGAAATCGTCTTTTTTCGCTTGATCATTCAAATTCTGCTCGTTCTTCCCGCAGCAGTCTGGGCACAGGCTGATTTGCTGGGCGAGAAAAAACACAGACCATACCTTGTGTGTTTCGGCGCCGTAAACTTTGCGTCTATCTCTTGTATCTACGGCTCGTTTACCAAGCTACCTTTGGGAGACGCAACCGTTTGTATTTCCACGACGCCAATCTTCACCGCGCTCTTGGCGTACGTTTTCTTGAAGGAATCTTGGCATATTTTTGACGCCGCAGCAACCTTTACATGTCTTGGCGGAGTAGTTCTGATCACGAAGCCAACCTTTCTGTTTGGCTCTTCAGGTAAAGAATATTTTCTAGATACAAAACTGTACTCTTATTTTCACATGGCTAGGAAATATTTAATCTCTCCAAAAAATGTCTTATTCGTTTCAGGCAAGCTTATAGGAAATAAGAATGAATAAACTGATAACTGCACGAGGGAATACTATCTTCATTTTTGTACTGCGCAAATTAAGCGAGTGTTTCAATCATAAAAAACATAATTTTGCTCATTTATCTTTTTTCAAATTTTCAGTTAAACGTTTTATGCGGGGTGCGAATCTTTCTTTCCCTGTTTTCAGTTCAACCGACAACTTCGTTCCCAGGGTCCTCTCTCTACCTGAAGTTTAAAATGAGATTATGCGCCAAGTAAGGTCAAGCAAAGTTTGCCTTATCTACGCGCAAGGCTTGTCCTACCAGCACTTAATCCCTTTGTACGTAAGATAAAGCGATAAGAGCAATTTATATTTTCCAAGAAAAGACGGAAAAACGTCATAGTTCTTTCATCGTAAAAGCCAAATTTAAGCGAAATACAGAACACACTTGAACATCTTAAGGTCAAATATGATAATTTCCAGAAACTTGTTTTATTCTTAAATGCAGCCAATGCACCCAGCCACGTGATCGAAGCGTCTCATTTGATTGGCTACGCCATGGCGCTATCAGGAGCCGTGGTCCAATCACTGACGTTCATCATGGTCCGTCGAGTTGGTGGCTCTGTCAGTTTCTACACCAATGTGTTTTATTTTGGCTGGTGCAGTGCTCTGTTGTCTGGTTTCACCATGTTTGTCTTTCAAAAACCTGTAATTCCGGATTGTGGCGTGGCCAGATGGTTTCTCATTGGAGTGGGTAAGATATTGATGCTTCAGGACGGGTTATTATTTTCTTGAGGGGAGCGGGGAGTTGGACAAGTTTCTGGGTCGTGAAATTTTTTTCTCAACTTTAGGTCGCGCATGATTTATTTTGGCGGGCGATAGCTTGTGCAAGATTTTTTTTAACATCAAAAACAGGACCTGGATAGTAAAAGCACTTGCTCGATTTTTTTTTCCCATGGCGCCCCTTGCACGATTTTTTTCAGCAGTTTTTGCTGAGCTGGAATGTTTTTTGGAAATTGACCAACTCCCCAGCCCCTCCCCTCAAAACAATAACGGTCCGTCCCCTAGTTTTTGGGATTATATCGTATATTAAGCAGCCTTGTAAACCTATCGACGTTCCAAGTTTTCTTTCGTGCGGAAAAAAATCGCCACAGCAAAACAGCTTTGCGTTTGAAGTTGCAGCCGATTGGCTGAAAAACGTCTCCGTCCTGATTGGTTAGAAGGTGCACACTGCTCATCG